GGGGCTGCCCTGACCCCAAACCATGGCTTTCCATGCGTTCCAAGGCTAGAAAATTCACAGGGGAAAGCTAAAAGAAAGGTAAACAGGAATAAAGGTTTTTTCCTCTTTAAAATGCCCAGATTTTTTTTTTTTTTCTCTAGCTTGATTATGTAAAATTTCCACATGCTTCTAGTGATGGAATTGTTAATTATAAGATACAGTGATGATGATAATACATTGTCAGAATATCCTGTGTTGTAGCAAGTGTCATCACCTATACAGCACAGTCCATAGGCCAAAGAGATTCAATAAATAAGTCTGATAAAGGACAAGCCTCTGAGAATTGCCCACGCATGCTAACAGAGCTAGGTATTTAGGTCTCTTATTTTAGGTAAACAGGATCTGATTGGAGTTTTAAGCACTGAATCTATAGTCTCCAAACCAGAAATATGCTTCTGTGGTTTTGTGGCAGTTGTGACTTGTTTTGTTTGTTTTTTTCCAAGTACAGCATGCTGTAATTATGTCAATGTTATTGAAAACATTTCTGTTATGGTCAAATATGTCTGATAAACACTGATTATTTCATATAAATAAACGTCTGTATTGTGGTCTGCATGTGCAAATGTTCACCACTTAGTGAAATGTTATCAGATGTAGCCAAGTATTGAAAAGACCAAGCTCCTACCCTCTCTTTCGCTCCCTTCAGACAGGAGGACAATATGAAAGGATCCTCTGGTGTAGGGCCTGGGCAGAGGCTCCCAAAGGCCCATCTGTGTGAAGGGAAGGATTGGTTCAGCTCCCACATGCTTCACCTCTGCCCTCAGGCACTGCCTCGTGGGCAGAGAACAGACCTACCTGAAAGTTCCCCTGCCAGCTCGTTGGTAAGGGGAGCTACTGGAATGCACAGCTGGGGGGGCAGGGGCAGGCAGAAATCTGCAGTGAGGTTACCTTGAAACTACTGGTAAACGTCAGAAGGGCTGGGTGTGTCTTCCCACAGCCTGAAACAGGGCACACTGGGAGCGAGAGTGTCAGAGCCCAGAGATCCTTTCCACCTCCTTTGAGGGTTTTAAGTACTGTGCTGTGCCTATTAAACAAGAGCCACAGAATTTCAGCTTTCTGTTTCTCTTTCTTTTCTACAAAGAAAGTACTTCACCCAAAAGGAAAGCTACTGCTTGGATGGAAAGAACAGTGTCTTCAGAATTACAAGTCCTCATTCATAAAGAGACATGCTAAGGGAAGGTAACAGGACTGAAGACTATCTCACAGCTTTTACAGTTAAGTTCTACTAATTATTTTCATTATAGAATGGTGCCATCTTAGTTCTACCTTTCCCAAGTAGGTTCTTGTGATATAAATGGTTTAATAATGATGATGCTCTAGATAATCAATGCTGGAAAAGAGCTATAAAGAGCACATACTGTAAGCATAACAAAACATGCCCAGGTATTTGTGCTCCTTTTGGTCCTTGGACAACTCTCCCTACAGAACACCAACTTGACTGCCTATTTTTAGTACAAGTCAGGTGTTCTTTAGTTTGATTTTGGAAACAAAACCCTATGGGTTATTTATTTGGAGGTACTTTACAATAAAAGGTGATTGGCTGGCAAAAAAATTACTAAATCTTCTAAGCCATGTGACTTATATTTCAGCCCACTAGAGAACAGTGTTTGTAGAACAGATGTCACACCATTATTTTACTGTAACATGGCCTTTACAAATTGCTGTATGTATACAGAGGAGTGCCCCAATGGTTAAGTAACTTATTACACACTACAAGAAACGACACTTAAAATTCACAAATGATTAAATTTTTAAATTGATATATCAGCTGCTATCTTTCTCCTTACCTATTACTCAGAAAATAAAAAAGGCAATGCAGCTGAGGGAAGGAACTGTAGCTAACAGACTCTCAGAGGCAGAGTCCAGGTATTGAAAACACTAATGCTGCCAGACAGTGAGACCAGTCAGCACCTATGCAAACAGACGGATAGCTTAGCAGTAAAAATGTCACCTAGTGACCACAAACAGAAAAAATACCCTGCCAAGAAATTAACATAGTCTGGGCAATTAACATAATCTGGGCAATTAACATAGGCTAAGTCTACAGGCAGAAACAGCTATATGGGACAGAGAAAAAAAGAGACCCAGAAAAAAAAATACTAGACAGAAACAAGAATCTTAAAATAAAATAATTGCACCTGGTGCCAGGCAAGAAACACAGGAGAACCAAATCAGAAACACAAAAAAAGCTAAATAAAAATTTAAATTTCTCCTCATTCTGACTGCGTTATTCCCAGCACAAACGGGTAACAGCCCAGTATGAGAGAGAGGTGGGCAAAGGAAGCATGGCTAAAGCAGCTGCAGGTCCCCTGGCACAGCACTAGCTCCAGGTCCACCCAGCACTTCCACCCCACTGGCAAACAGCTCCCACCTCACCCACTGCAGGAACAACTGTACTCCAAGTTACTCGATTGCATAACTAGATCTTGGACTATTAGCTTTTGTTGCTGTTGCCCTTGCTCATGACACCCATTCAACTGGCCTACAGGCTGATTTCATGCTTATTTTGTCTTTTCAGAACAGAGAAATAGTTTGGAACAGAGAAATTTACCCAGAAAGAGAAAACTCTCTCTTATGCTAGAGAAGACTGCAGTATAAATATCTATGCTGGCAGAAGAGAATAAATAATTCACTAAGGTGCCTTAAAATGAGACATAAGGATGACAAACCTGTCCATATGTTAATTTAATCCCTGAACATTCTAATGTTTTTATAAATTGCACAGTCACAGTTTTTATTACAAAGAAGAAAGAGGGAACAACCCAAAACTCAGGAAACTACAAACCCTTCTTTACCTCTCTTAATGTCATCCAGCTGAGGCTCAGGAGAAGGATTATCTTTCAAAGGAGAAGTTTTAGGTCCAGCTGCTGGCTTGGTTGGGGCTCTGAACTGTGAAGGAGGCTGAGAAGCTCGGGCAGACTGTTGTTCTATTCGGGCTTGGATCTTACTGCTGCCCTCTGCTCTGAAAAAACAACCAGACACATTCAGAGGTACTGTGCAACTATGTTCAATATCCTTGTGCTAGTGCATCACCTGTGACTTCCTCTCCTACAGGCCTCTACTCTGTTTTGTAAGGATAGACAGTGAAAACAGCTTTGTGCATGCGAAACTCATTTTCAATAACAAAAAGCATCTACAAGTACACTGCAACACCTTTTTAAGATGTATTTTCAATTCCAGATGTGGTTCAGTGATGCCAAATTCTCTACTTGAAAAGCACTGAAGGCCTTAACTTAGCAGTTAGTATTTTTAAAAAACGATAAGCAATCATAGTAATTTAAAGTAACTATCTGATAAAACAAATCCACTCCTAACGAAATCATGCTTAAAACCATCACAGTAAAAGAAACAATATTCTCACTTCAATTAAAGCATCTCAAACTGAACTCTCTTAGAGGTCAACCTGACTTGAGCAATCACTCTTACTGTTAAATATGGCATGCAAGCTTTTAATTCCTGCTTTTCACTCATTTGCTGTTATCCTTTAAAAATAGTTTAAGCTGATCTCTTAATGGGAAACAGTCTCAAGAATAACACTATGCCTAGCTGTTCAACTCAAATTAGGTATTTCTTCCTTGTACTGAACCGATGACGTGACTGAGACTGTAGGACAGTCAACATCCTTGGCGTAAAAAAAACCCAACGAAACAAAATACTTACTCTGGTCCCTCTGCAGTGCCCCAAAATGAGGTCAAAGTGTGTGGTCTATTTATCGCACAAGCCCAAAGCCTTTGGGGGGGTATGGCTTTAGGCAGGGTAGCACAGAAGCAGCTCATGTGGACATCAAAACTCAGTCTCAGTTCTGGGAGGGCCACAGCTCCGCAGTGTGACACCCTTTGCCTGTGAGCTAATCCCAGAGAAACGAGTCCAACTGGCCCATGTGGGACTGCCTGGCACTTCACCCAAACCCTCCTGGTAACTGACTCTGCTCTGGGCCTCACTCAACTGTAGTTGCAACCTCAAAAATTAAGCACAGAATCACCTCTTCATTCATCACTGAAATGCAGCTATTAGACACCACATTAATGTAGATTATACAGCCATTTACAACAAAAATAAGGATTTGGGAATACACTCCCTGTATCACACGAAAGGTAAAACCAAAAGACTGTTTCCAGTATTAATTATGCTCTTGGAACTAAAGGTTTTATGTACAAGTGCAATTACTCTCCCATGAATGCCATCAGGATGTTAACACTAAAAACTCTGCTCCCACAGAGTGTCACCAGGTTGTTAAAGATCAAAGTAACCATGGGGGGAAAAACAAACAAACAAACAAGCAAACAAACAAACCCCAAAAAAACAAGACCAAAACCCAACAACAGAAAAACACCGCAACAAACCACAAAGCTTTTGGTCTAGGAAACTGAATGACTTTGCAAAGCTCTACTTCTTAAAACAGGGATCCCAAATATTTTACTACCCTGCCTCATTGGCGACAAAACTCACTGGATCCAAACACCTCACTGAGCCCAAGCCCTCCTGCACTTCTTTGCTCCTTTCTGCCTTAAGATTCACCTGGAAAAACTCCGGCAGAACTTACACTGGGAATTCAAATCTCACCTATGACATGCTGATATCCACTGGACAAGATAAATGCCACACGGATGAGCTTTCACACCACTGATCCAGAGGAGGGTTACAGTCCATCTACCTTGAACTCAGGGGGTTCTTGGCAAACTTCCAGACAACTGCTGATGAGCTTCAACCCACATTTCTAGTAGTTTTAGCAGCTAAAAGCTCTACATTGCAAGAAAGCATTTTGTAATTTTTTTTTTAATGTAAAACTTGTAAAATTATTTATGAGCTGCTTCTTCATGAGACATTTGAAGTGCTTTCACTTTCTCAATAACCTGTGGTCCAATGATGCTGAAAGAACATGATCCAGAGACTTCTTACACAGCAGCAAGATTAATGTTCCAACTGCACACTTTGTAGCATTTGTGTAGTGATGTAAGAATATTGGGTCAGAGAGGATTTCTGGCCTCAGTAATCCATCTAGGCAAAACCTCATAGCCATTATTTCTACAGTTCTCCCCCAGCTGGATGCTTTGGATTTGTGTTCCACTTTATATATCACTGACCCAGTACAGGGATGAGTGCTTCACATTCCCTAGAGTATATTATTAAAGGATCATGACTCCCACAGGAAGCTGTAGGGAACAAACCTAAAAGTTCAACAATCCTTTTTCCATGCTCTTTTTCAGCTAACGACAGATCCCTGAAGCATACCCCATCCTTCAGCCAGCTTCCAAAGCTTCAAATCATCAGAGGTGTTTGTTTCACTGCGAACTATAATTATGTCCTTTCAGCAGTGGAGAATTTACACATTCTTAACTCTAGGATTCATACTCCTATTTGCATTTTCAAACAAGGTAATTGGTCACGTAAAGCCCTTAAGACTTAGTAATTAAACATCATTACAAAATAAAATAAATCAAGAGTTCTGGTTAAAAAGACAGTCCGAAGAAGAAACTTCAGCATGAATTAATCCTATCAGCAGCCCTGTCCCCCCAGCTTTACCTTGTTTTCTTGACTTGGATGCTGCTACTAAGTTTTTCCAGCACGTATTCCCCAGTGTCGTGATTGATAATAAGCACACAGTCCTTCTGATATGGCCTTTTATTTCCTTTAAACACAGTCATTGGTGGAGTTGAACCCTGGTATCAAAGAAAGAGCACACATTTGTTTGGTTATATTCCCCTACCTGAAAGTCTATAAACACTGAGATAAATTAATATATGTATTGTTCTGACCAAGAGGCTCAGTTAATGTTTAGCTCCTACAGAAAATATTCATTCACGAAAAGGGAAAAATGCAGTTACATGCAGTGGATCAGACACTTCCTCATTGCAATATTAAGCCTTTCATCATGTTAAGTGTCTCTGCAGTGACAAAACATCTTCTCCATGGTTGCCATTATTTACAGTTCCCATTCCCAAAATGGTAATTTGCAAAGCTGTTGACAAGTGTCAGAAATCTTCTTGACATTTCTCCTCTGGAAATCTTTGGTTTGTGTAAGAAATAAAGCTTTAATTGTTCGAGTAGCAGAACTGTTGCCTGAAGAAATAGCTGGTCAAACGAAAAATAATTTAAACTGCTTTGTACTCTACATTTATCTATCTAGCTCTCCAAAAGGCAGTATTGGCATAGTGGGTTACAAGCAGCTGTCACACTGTTAGCAACAGCTGCCTCCTCCAAAGACAGGTTAGCACGTAGATGCCATACAATTACAATGAAACGTCTTCTCGAAACCAAACAGGGTATTTTAGCACCTTGCAGGCAGCACCCAAGCCCACACAGCTCTGCACAGGGCCAGAGCACTCACAGCTCAGGCTGAGAGGCAGTGGGGAGTGGCGTGGTGCTGGGTGCTGGCTGCCGGGGCCGCCCCGGTGCCGACACGCCTGGCGCTGGGGCACATCAGAGCCCGCGGCCCCCCTGCCCACAGCAGCACGGGCACACCCTGGCTGTGGCCAGCAGGGGCACGTTAATCAGAGAGGATACGCAGAAATGGGTTCTCAGACTGCTCTGTGATGTATAGCTACTGCACAAAAGATTTTCTTTAGTAAAGTTTATTCACGTGCACCTTTGCACGTGCTGTAGCAAAGCAGCCAAAATCAGGGAGAATAGGAACAAACTGCACTCTTTGTCATTTTATTCCAAGTAGCAAAAATGAACAATTGTATTTTAACCACTCAGAATGCAATTCCTATTCTCCATGTTGCTAATAAAGAGGTTTGAATTTAAAATGGCTTCAGAATAGTAAGGGTGAAAAATCTGAGTTGAAGAAAAAGATACAGTAAGAGATACAGATACAGAAAAGATGTCTCAAGAAACTCCAGTCTCCAAAGGCACATTACATTTTTATAATTCCTACATTTAAGAGGAAATCAACATTTGAAAGAATAAAAAGCAAGCTGAAAGTCAAATCCTGCTTGCTGTTGACCGCTAAGTCACAAAACATATAATGCACAAATGCAGTGAGAATTGATCAGAGTTTCTTGGCTATCATTCTGCTACCCAGAAGCCTCCTAACTCAACAAGGACTGTGATTTTGGTTAAAAATAAAAAGCAGAAACAGAACCCCACTTAGGCAAATAAACAGTCCCACCCTACCAGTTACAATGTTTAGGTTTTATGTTAGTGTCTAAATGACACTGGCTTACAGATTCTGCTGCTTACAGGATAGAAAAAGGTGGCAGGTGAAACAGGTGACATTTAATCCATTTGTTTTCAGGTGTGAGGTTTTTTTATCAAACAGAAATTCTTCACTTCCCCAACCAAGATGATTTATCAAACATTAAAGCCACTAAATCCACATGTAGAAACAGTACTTCAATTTATTCAAGCAGCAAGGGACATTAAAATATCTCCACTGAGTAAATTATCAGAGACACCCTCAGGGGCCAAACAATTTCAAGAAAACAACTCAGAATCTGAATCCTATCCAGTTGTTGGGCAACTGAGAACTGAAGCAGGATCCCAAAAATTCAGTAAACCTTGTAAGGATGACACAACCTGAGAACTCCTCACTGTTTTCCAGTGCACTCCGAACTTTCCAGCTCCCTGCCCGGACCGCTGGCCGCTCTGCCCCGGGACACCACAGGCTCAGTGTGGGCAGCTGCCTCCCAGGCCCACGGCAAGCTTCACACTGCTCACGCTCATGGGGAGGCAATCCCCTGAAACTCATCAGTGCAGAGCTTCAGGGAGACTCCAGTGCTGCCGTTTGACAACACTGCTCCCAGTCAGTCCAAGGTGAATGCCACTGCTGTTAATCACATTGCGACTGCTTGCAAACAGCACTACCGCATTCATCCACTTTGTAGACAAAAACCAGTACGTGGCCTTCTGCAGCACTGAAGGTGAGCAAAGCCACATGAAAAAGGGCAGCAGGGGGAAGCAGGTGAACGCCTCATTTGGCACAGATTATCACAGCACCATCACCTAGTAAATAAAAACACGAACACATTGAACTGACCACCCCAAAAGGGCCTGACTCACAGCTTCCGAACGGGTGACCGACCCCTGCAACCACCAACCCATCAATGGCTGTGAATTCTGGTTTACTGGCTTGACACACAGCACTAACTGCAGCTAATAAACACATCCCGCTCCAGCACGCAAGAGCTTTCTTTTGTTTAGTAAGGAAACCACTGAACCTTCAATTACAAACCAGCTGCAGCTATAAACAGTTTGATCACTTGTTTTATTGCTGTTTGACCATCATCCTCACTCGGCGGATCTTTATGGATTAATCTGAGGAGGAAGTGGATGGGAAACCACTTCATTGCCACTCACCAGGACTGCCCCCCTCGCTTCCACTGACAAAACTAAAGGCAGGGAACCCTCTAAGCTCTCGGTACACGGTTTAGTGATAGGAAGAACACGCTTGCAGGCCTGCCTGCGGCTCCTGAACAGCCAATCCTGAGTAAAACCCAAATTACTCTGCCTTGCTTCCCTAACCCACAGCACTAAAAATGATGGACACCAGGTATAGTGCTTCAGCTAACAGTAAAAGTCTTCTTGTTATCCAAGGCATAGTAAGAAGGAATCAAAAGTACAGAGCAGACTGGAACCTTGCAAATATAACCCTTTACAAAAATTCAGTTGTACAGTCTTTTCCTAAGGTAACACACTACAAGTCTGGCTGCTCAAATATTGCACCCACCAGTATTAAGATGAAAGTGAAAATAACATTTACATCAGTCTGTAACTACATTACAAATCTGTTGGAGAGTAAACAGGGAGAGGCATATAACAAACTTACCGGAATATGTGGCAAAGTGATTGTTACATCATCTCCTTTACCAACCTGGAGATCCCCCTCACAAGATGTATCAATCGATGCTGGCTTAAAATCATCTAGAGATGAAAACAAGTATGATTACATTTCTTGGGAGTCTTCAGAAGTGCCACTGCACATTTACTGGGATTACAGGGAATGCTAAAACACATGCCAGCATTTACAGCAGGGTTGGGGTAAGGCAACATGTCTATCAGTCACACAATGGTACCAGATTCTAAACTTCCTTCTTAAAATGGAAATAAGGTTCTAGACCTTGTGTCTGAAGATCAAAAGCAGACTTCTCCAAACCCCAGGCTTTGAGCGACGTGAATTTTGAAGGCAAGTGTAGAACTGTACCATGCATCTCAAAAGAGCACCAGCTTCAGGACTCGGGCTGTGCATGGCTCCTGCCAGTTCCAAACCCAAAGACTCTCTCTGTGACTAATTCAGTGACACCAACTCGTTTAGCCTTACTGATATTTCTGGCTATTCAACAGATGCCTTGCCTCCACAACACCTCAAGGGCAGAGGAGCCCTCATGCTAGTCCAAAGCCACTGTGGATGGAAACCATGACTAAGGCGAGATACTGCAATAGCTTTAAACCAATTTTTAGCACTTTTGCTGCGTTGTATAGAATGCTTTGTCCTCCAAACAAGACAGTCTGTTTAGGGTATTTATTTGAACTAAGAACATTTTAACTTAGACATATTTTGCCCTCATTATTCTGCCATGCTGGTGAGCCATAAAAAGCAGAAAAAAAATTATCAGAACCTGTAATCTTTTGACAGAGGATTTAGACAAAGTGAAATAAGGACAGATATAGTTTGGTTTGCTTCGTTTGTTTTTAAAATAAGCCTACATTCAATTCTAGCATCTCTGGCTGCAAAAAGGAGAAATTGTATGCATGACCAAGGCTTTTAATTACTGCATTAGTTAAGAAATTAGTATCTCAGAAGAAATTTAAAATATAATTCCATTATGAAAACTGTATCTGCAGGAAACAAAACCCCCCAGCTTGTCATAAATTCTCATTAAGACGATGTTAATGTCTAATTGAGTTTTACTTTGACAGCACAACAAGCTGAATCAGGCACACTTGACTTAATCCTCATGCCTTAACCGCCAGACCAAATCATACTCTTCGTTTTCATCTGAGCAATCTATTTCTAGCTATTGTTTCCCACCTACTTTATGTGCAAGCTTGCTAAATTAAAACAAACCAGCTGTACAAGAGCTACTGTCTTTGCCAAAAAGGGATCAAGAGTTTCAACAATGCAGTCACTAAACTAAAAGGATCACTATCACACTTCTTCCTTAGGGATCAGCAAAATCATAGCCACTCTAAACACTCGACAAACTGGCTTAATTTGGTTAGTTCACTAAGTGGACATGCCCAGCTAGTCTTCCTGGATATCAGGTGCACGTATCCCTCCAAATGTACTCACAGTCCATTCTCCAAAAGTCCAATGTTTTTAAGATGTGTTTTCTGGGGATACTCCATTTTTTCAGTACAGTATTTCATAAACATTATGGAACGGAATGAAGTATTTTAAGAGGGCCAAGACAAATTTAGCCTACAAAATCTTACTGTAGTTTGTGTGAAGAGGATTACAGGAACAATATAATTTTTGGATCCCAGATAAATCATTCCAGATCAACAGTTCGAAAAAAAAAAATTATAACCAGGAAATAAAGAGATCTCATTAGAAAGTCATGGAAAATGCAGCACACAGAAAGCTCTTTGAAAATAAAACTGCATAATTCGAGTTGTACCTGAAGAGCTTTGGCTTTGCAAGCCCTTAAGAAAATGATTATTGAAGCACTTTCAATTCTAAAAATGCAGTGTATTTCTATTTGGACATATCTTGGTTTTAGTTCATACAATATCAAACAATCACCTCATTCATTTGGCAGTTGGGCTGTTTTGAATTTTTGATTTATAAATGGAGATATACAGTGTTAAAACACTTATAGGTACCAAACATATAGTATGGTATTTTTTAGCATGGTGGAATTATGTATAACCAGAGGGGTAAACCACAAAATTTAAGTGTTAATCCACAAGACGGAGTTTACCACTGAGCAAAATAGCTTTGCCTCAATCATTGGCCAGCTGCCTGAGTAACAGTTGAAGCTAGAAAGCTGTTCTTTCAAGCTGCACTCAGGTGATGAGTACCACCAAAATTACTTACTCCTAGTGTATATGAATATGGGCCAAGAGACTGGGCCTGTATTAAAAAGCATCAGAAAGCAAAAAAAAAATCCTACTGTTAACAGTATAAATTCCCCAGTTTAACATAAGGCTACTGAAATACAAGTTCAGTATTACTTTCATTTAGTGTTTGTGATTTACTACTTCTGTCAAATTCTGGACTCATTCAGGGGAAGAAAATGCAATTTCTTGCCCAAAGAATCCCAGTACAGAGACACAGTGAGCTTCTTTACAAAACAATCTCATAAGATGAAAGTCAACGTAACAAATACTAGAATAGCGCAGTCAGACAAGATCTGGTGTCTTTAAAAGCCCCATCTCGTCTTCCAGTGATTCAAAGCCTTCAGGACTGCTGGAGACCCTACATGAGGCTCCCTCACACACGTGAGGCAGCGCTCTGCCTGTGTCTCTCCCGACGGCAAAAAAAGCTCGCTTTGGTCCCCCCCGCCGCCTCCCCGGGAAAGCCGCTGATCGCGGCGGGCCGCTGGGTTACACCCTGCCTCAGCGTTAAAATAACCGCTGAAAAACCAAACTGTGGGCGCCTGAGCTGCTGGCCAGCTTACAAATCAAGCTGCGGGTGCCTGGGCTGCTGACTAGCCACGCTTCTCTCCCGGCACTCCCACC